CGCGCGAGCGAGCGCACGCACGCAGGAGCGGAGGCCGCGCACGGTCCCACTGCGCAGTGTTTGCTTCTGCTTCCTCTCCCCTCCCCCTTTCGGCTCACGGAGCCCAAAACAACGCCGCGGGGAGCTGTTTCCCCTCCAGGCCTTCGGTTCCCCAGCCGCGGGCAGGCGCGCGCGGAGGACGACGGAGTTCCTCCCGCTTCCTCCCGCCCCCTGGTTTCCCCGGGCCAATCGCCGCCGGTGCTTTTACCGCGCAGCCGCAGTGGAGTCCAAGACGGGCAAGGCTGGCTGCGGCTCAAGTGCCTCGTAGCACGGAAGCGTGTGCGCGCCGGTCTTTCTGTACTTGCAGCTGGGGGGTTCTGCGCAGCCGCGCGGAGCTCCCTGATGCCATTGCCCCTCCCACTAGTTACTTCCGTCTCACTTCCAATTGCTAAGGCGTCTTAGGGGTCGCTAGCCTCTTTTTCCTACTGTCTGTGCTTGCAGCAGTAACGACAAAAAAAGTCAAAAGAGAATGTGTTGCAACATGTAAGCCTACTAGCAATTGTGTTTCTGGCTAGGAAGCAAAAGGACTCCCCAGAACCAAGAAATACAGTAATCACGGGCCCTCCTTTTTTCGCAATGCCTCAACTTCTACCCAGCAACTGAGGCCTTGACCCCGCCCTTTTTCTCTTATTGGACAACTTGAATCGTCATTTGCCGTTCCGATTGGTCATCCATGATCGTCCGGATTTTTCCAATTGGCGAAGCTGCCAGGGGATTTTTTTTTTTTCCCTCTCCCCGCCCCGTTTGGTTCGCTGAGGAGGCGGGGTCGTTTCTGCGGGATTATTTTTCCGGAGCCTCTTCTGATTGGGCGATGTGGCGCAATGCTCGCCACCCTTTAAGATAGCAAACTGTCCGCATTTCTGACGTGCTCCCGCCGGTAAACCGAAGCCTGGGAGAGTTCCAGGCTTGGGCATCTGCTGAGGGCGAGGAACTGGTCGCGGCGCTGGGTGGGCTTGCAGCTGTGACGCTTATGTGGACACCTCAGTCTCCCTTGGTGGTGGTTCACCTCGGTTTCCCAGTTTATATTACTGACGTCAACAGATAAATGATTGCTGAATAAGGAAGAAGAGTTGGAATTGCTTCAAGCCTCCGGACTTTTAGCGCTAGTCTCACCCACTCCCTTCTACTTCCAGGTCGGGGGGCGGGTCCGAAAGAAAGGCGGAAGCCAGTGTGCCCGGCGGTCTCACGCCCGTAACAATTTCTGAGTAGGGCGTCGCTTGAGTTTTTCGGAAAGTCTCCACACCCCCCGCCCCCATCGTCTTTTTAGGAAGTCCCTTAATGTTTGGCTTCATTATTCCCACATCCCCTTCCTAACTACTTGCCTGCACTTCTGGAGAAAAAGACTGCAGAAAGGAGAGGTGGGGCTGTGAGTAGCAACAAGCAAACCGCAGGTCCCTGTTGGGGGACCCTCCAGGAAGAAGAGTAATTTCCTGCCTTCTTGAATTGGCTACTACAGTCAATTATTTTGTTCCCAACCCTAGAGCTTCAATTGCTCCTTCACTTAGCAATTTCCCAAGAACCCTGGGCGACAGTTATGGAGAAGCGTCTGCAGGAGGCTCAGCTGTACAAGGAGGAAGGGAACCAGCGCTACCGGGAAGGGAAGTACCGAGATGCTGTGAGTAGGTACCATCGAGCTCTGCTTCAGCTGCGGGGTCTGGATCCGAGTCTGCCCTCTCCATTACCTAATCTCGGACCTCAGGGCCCGGCCCTCACGCCTGAACAAGAAAACATACTGCATACCACCCAGACTGACTGCTACAACAATCTAGCTGGTAAGAACGGGGCTAAAGGGGGCTAGAGAGCATTAAGACAGGAACATGAACATCTGTGAACATTGGGGAAAAAAAACCGCTGACTTTTTTTTAACTGTCATCCATTTATTCTGCCATGAGTTAAAATAATCTGCCAATCTGTGGGGCTCTAATTAAGTTGCCATAGAGCAGGGCTTCTCCGACTTCACCTGGAGAGTTTGTTAAAACACAGCTTCCTAGGCCCCATCCCCAGAGGTTCGATGGGTCTGACGTGGGGCCTACCAGTTTGCATTTCTTTCTTTCTTTTTTTTTTGGAATGGAGTCTCGCTCTGTCGCCCAGGCTTGAGTGCACTGGCACGATCTGGGCTCACTGCAGCCTCCGCCTCCCTGGTTCAAGCAATTCTCCTGCCTCAGCCTCCCGAGTAGCTGGGACTACGGG